GGGCGGGGGGTGGTGCCAGTGTCTATACAAAAAAGTGTTTTGTTGTAGTGAAGTTGCCACTGCCTGATCTTGGTCTTCAACCTCAGCTGTGTCATCAGGTGATCTATCCCACTCCTATACCTACTAATGGCAATTCTAAAACTTGACAATTCTTTTTTTTTTCTTAAAGATTTTTATTTATTTGACAGACGGAAATCACAAGTAGGCAGGGGCGCCTGGGTGGCTCAGTGGGTTAAAGCCTCTGCCTTCAGCTCAGGTCATGATTCCAGGGTCCTGGGATCGAGCCCCACATCAGGCTGTCTGCTCAGCAGGGAGCCTGCTTCCTCCTCTCTGCCTGCCTCTCTGCCTACTTGTGATCTCTGTCTGTCAAATAAATAAAAAAAATCTAAAAAAAACTCAAAAAACAAACAAAGAAATCACAAGTAGGCAGAGAGAGAGATTGGAGGAAGCAGGCTCCCCGCGAATCATCTGGAGGTCTTATTAAATTCCCTCCATGTCGTCTGTCTACTTGTCCTCTATATTACTTGCCCGGTCAAGACATTCAAGCTAATTAGCATGGAATGAAAAGTTTTCAGTCATCCCCACCAACCTTCCCTCTCAGCCTCAATTCCTGCTGTTGAACATGAAACTGGCATGCTCCTTATTCCCAAAGTGCACCGTGGGATTCCTGGGCTTGAGCAAAACTCATTCATTCATTTACCATTCATTATATGTATGTTCAATAGGTCATAATCTCACAGAAGAAGACTTTATTCTTCATGACCATTCCTCCCTCTCCTCACCTTGGGGAATCACTTCTCCTCTATACTCACTCAGCTCCTCTGCGCTCTTCTCTGAGATCGCAGACGTGCCCCAGGTAGGAGAAAAGCAGCATTAGCTTCCACACTCCTGGGCCACTTGCTTCTCTCCTGACCTCCACTGCCCACCCCCAACCCTGGCCCCACTCCTAGAGGAAGAGTAAGACAGGTTCTCTCTTTTATCTTCAGACGCCACGATGTCTGACTCATGGGCTGACCTGGATGAAACCCTAACGCAATCAAATTAGTATTGTCACCCTCCAAATTTCCACCCTCCTCCATCCCATCTCGGATATCCTTCCACAGGCCTCTGGCTGCTTTGACTCAGTAACCCCTGCCACTGGGTCCAGTGCTTGCTAACCCATGCCTGCTGAGCCCAGAAGTCCCTCCTCCTGGAGAATGGGAGTCACATGGTAGCAGGCCAGAATCACCATGATTCAGAGCATGGTGTGAGCACAGCCAAGACTGGTAGGGAAGGCCATTTACCTCCGGCATCAGCTTGACCCTCAAGGTACTGCTCAACAGAGGAAAGGAAGCATAGCTAATGCTGGATTACAGAGAGGGGGCAGGCAGCCTGAGCCATTCCTTAGAATACCCACAAAACAAGGGCATTAAAAAAAAAGGGAAGAAAAAACTGAGACCAGAATTTGATCATTACTATATATAGCTACCCTTGAACAACGCTAGTTTGAACTGTATGGGTCCAACTGTACTAAGATTTTTTTTTTAAAGATTTTTATTTATTTATTTGATAGAGATCACAAGTAGTCAGAGAGGCAGGCAGAGAGAGAGGAGGAAGCAGGCTCACCGCTGAGCTGAGAGCCCAATGTGGGGCTCGATCCCAGGACCCCGGGACCATGACCTGAACCGAAGGCAGAGACTTAACCCACTGAGCCACCCAGGCGCCCCCCAACTGTACTCAGATTTAAAAAAAAAATACACAACAGTACTGTAAATGTATTTTTTCCTATGATTTTCTTAAAACACTTTTTTGCTACCTTTGTTGTAGGAATACACAGTAGAGTACATACGACATACAAAACATGTAAATTGACATCTTCTGCTCTTGGTGAGACTTGTGGTCACCAGTTTTAGATGGAGTCAAAAGTTATGCATGAATTTCCAATTGTGTGAGGGGTCAGCACCCCTACCCCCACATTGTTCAAGGGTCAACTGTGTATTTTCGAAAGAAACTATAATCAGTTGGATGTCCCTATATATGCTTCATGGTCTAATACATTTTTGGGGGGGGTTGTTTCTTCAAGATTTTGCCAGAGAGAGCACAAGCAGGAGGAACAGCAGGCAGAGGGAGAAGCGGGCAGTGGGAGAAGCAGGCTCCTTGCTGAGCAAGGAACCCAATGTGGGACTTGATCCCAGGACCCTGGGATCATGACCGGAGCCAAAGGCAGAGGCTTAACCCACTGAGCCACCCAGGTGCTCCTTCATTTTGAATTGTATATGGAAAATGGGACACCACCATGTTTCCAAGTTTTGGAGCCTTCACTTATTTATTTTTTAAAGATTTTATTTATTTATTTGACAGAGAGAGAGAGAGAGAGAGATCACAAGTAGGCAGAGAGGCAGGCAGAGAGAGGAGGAAGCAGGCTCACCGCTGAGCAGAGAGCCCGATGTGGGGCTCCATCCCAGGACCCTGAGATCATGACCTGAGCCAAAGGCAGAGGCTTAACCCACTGAGCCACCCAGGCGCCCCGAGCCTTCGTTTATTTTTAAAGACTTTATTATTTTTAGGTAATCAATGTGGGGCTTGAACTTACAACTGAGATCAAGAGTCACTCCTTATACGGATGGAGTCAGCCAGGCGCCCCAAGGTTTGGAGTCTTTCAAGTCTTTATCTGGGCTTGGTTAGGAGAAAGATCTCTAATGACATGCTTTTGGGGTCTTTGGCTCTGTTCTACTCAACTTTTTAAACCCACCACATGGAGACAGGTGTCCATCAAGTCTAACAACACAAAATTTACTAAGGACAAACTCGAGATCCTGCTGTTAAGTCCAAGGTAACAGCTGCATACATCTGAAGTGAAGGTAACATGGTCTGGGCAGTAACAAAATATGTAAAGAAGGGGGTTCTAGAGGGCAGTGGCTTCACAACAGAGAGCCTGGTAGAACCACCAAAACACAGGCCCAGAGGAGGAGGAGGGGGGAGGGGGCCCCAAATTACATGACAAGAGTAGGTATAGAAGAAACTGGGGGTCCTTAGCCCAAAGAAACCTCAGTTGTCTTCAACTAGCGGAAGGCATGCTGGGGGAAGCAGATTACACTTGTTTGGTGGAAGGCAGTGTGTGGGCGGCAGAACCAGTCCAGGATCCTGGAGAAGTGAGCCTGGAAACCCTGTAGCTCCAAGGGGACCAACCTTTCATCCAGGTCTCCACTCTCCCCGACACTGCCTCTCCTTGAAGGTGCTCCTCGTAAAGGCCACGGGAACATCCGCAGGGACACATAGCCTGAAGCCCTCATTCTCTCATCTGAAACCTTGCAGCAGCTCTTCTCTGCTGCCAACCGCTCACGCTTCCAAATGTATATGCCCCATCGCTTGCAGAATCACCACCTGAAAACCTGACAGTCCTTCTGGGTGGCCTGGCCTGCCTTCCCGATCTCTGCCCACAGCCTCCTGCCTTCTGGGCTGCAGACCATAAAGCACTCCTTCAGCTTTACAGACCTAGTTTCCTTGACCTGGAGTAACCTGTCCACACCTCTGTACATGGCAGCTCTATCACTTTCTCGACGACACCTTTCCTGACCCCTAGCCCAAGGGATACTGCCGCCTCCTGCTCGGAGCCTCCTCGGTGAGTCCCACCTGGCTGCCATCACTTCACTGTCCCTGCCTCTCTACCAGGTGTCTTCAGGGCAGATCCTGGGTTTTGTCCATCTTTGTATCTTCAGCCCCTGCCACAGTGCCTGGACTATATAGGAGGAACTCAGTAAATGGCAGATGGAATTAACAGAGAAATATTTCTTTCCTAAATTCTTCCTGCAACAGGCACACCGTTTCTGTGAAGAGAATTACATTTGGTCTTTGGTGGGCAGCTTTCTGTCCAGCTAGGACCCCTGAGAATATTTCCTTGACTTCTCCAGAGTGGAAGCAACCCGAAGCATGGACACGGTGCTGAGAAGTGGCTAGACAGGCCAAAAAATTGGCTCGTATTTTGGACGGTCTCAATGTCTTTGAGAATCTAGTGAAAAACAGAACCTTTCCCCCTTTTCTAACTTGGTTCCTAAAGCTAGAGTACCTGCCATTCCCTAGGGCCCCCAGATCCACCTCCCCTCGCCCACCCCAGGCTTCCTTCCCAGTCCCACAGGTGGAAACCCCTCTCCCAGAGACACTGGGTATCTAACCAGAACTCAGAGGGCATGGCTGCGGCCAGAGGCTCTCTTCCTGATGAGCCACGCATTCGCATTCTAGAGCGCTACTTGTGCCCACGCACGGGACCTCCAGAGAGACGGTAGATGCTCTGAGAAGAAATGGAGAAGTTTCACCAAGGGGTGGGGGGGGGGGGGAACAAGAACAAAGTTCAATGAACCTCAGTCACTAGAAGAACAAGCCTAACGATTCAGCTCCTCTTCCGGGCAGCTGCATCTCCTCACTATCCAGTTAACAGCCACGAGACATAAGGAAGGAGAAATGAGAACAGCCCAAGTGTTTCTTTTATTACCGAAACAACTGTTACACACACACTCAGGACCTCCACTCCTATCCCTGAGGATAACTGGGGAGGACCTTGCGGTTGTAGGAGCCCTTCGGAGCAAAAGGACTGCCGGGCTCACGCTGCCTTGGCTGGTTGTGAGGAAAAGGCCCTCACAGGGACCAGTTACATGGCATCGCTGGACCTAAGGACCCTTGAAGACGGGACTGGGTACGAGGTGACAGGATTTTGGATACCATCTCAGCATGACTAGGGGGTTACGGGTAAGCCTGATACTAGCCCCTCTACAGGAACACATAGGACCAGGGCATCCCCCTCAAGGAATCCAGACTCCTCAGGATCCCCCACCAAATGTGGTCCGGCAGAAAAGGGAAGTCTTCAGAGTCTGCTGCATGACGCAGGCCGGGTCCAGAGCGCACCGCACTGCTCTTGGCACCACTCTTAAAGGCCTCCATTGGCAGGGGCTGCCCGCTCGGGGCACAGCCAGCAGCCCGGCGCAAACCCCGGGGCCTGGGGTGGAAATGGTCAGGCTCCGCAGCCTTCACACCATCCCTTCTGGCTCCTCCGCTATTCCCTGAAACTTTTCCATGATGTCCCCTGAGGGGGGCTCAGGGGCTGGCGGGGGCTCTCCCGGGGCTTCCGATAGCACATAGTAGACAATCTCTTGCTCGCCTTGGGCGTTGGTCTGATTCACCACATGGATGACGGGGCTGGGAGTGTCCTGAGAGGCTGGGAGGCCTGTCCCCTGGCTGCTCCCGCCCTCCCCCTCCTCTTCAGCCTCCTCCTGGGGTCCTGGCTCCCCAGGCACTGCTTCAAGAATGATGCCCTGAAGGCTGCTCTCATTCAGCGACGCTCCCAGGCCCGATCCCTCTTGCGGCTGCCGGAGCAGCTGCTGTGTCAGCTCCACACTCTCGTAGCGAACAAGCTGCAGCCGCATGTAGCCATCTTCATGCTCCTTGTACCTGGTGAAGCAGGAGCACACAGGGCAGCGACCGTGCGCAGGGGGACATGGAACGTCCCGGTGAGCGGCAAGGTAAGGGACAGACATGAGGGGGTGGGACAGGCCTTGGGATTTTAAGCGACAGGAGTTGGAGACCAAAAAGATCTTTAGGGGAATATGTGGAAGACAAGACAAGAGGGAAAGAGCAGTACTTACGATGGGAAATCATATGTAGGAACTTGAGACGCAGGGAGAGAGGAAGAGAAGGTGGGATAAAGACATGATCTGTGTTGGAGGGTGGGGGTGTCGCAGGAATTAGGAGACGGTCACGGAGCTATGGGTCAGGACCCTTAGGCTCCAGTTGTGATTCTGGCTGCAGGGCTCCAGAACCACATTTAAAAATCAATATAATCATCTTTGCTCCACCACTTTATTCTCAGGGTTCCTCAAGCCTGAATGGAGATGGTGGATTATCATCAAATTCAAAGAAATTTTTAAAGATTTTATTTATTTATTTGAGGGGCGCCTGGGTGGCTCAGTGGGTTAAGCCGCTGCCTTCGGCTCAGGTCATGATCTCAGGGTCCTGGGATCGAGCCCCGCATCGGGCTCTCTGCTCGGCAGGGAGCCTGCTTCCTCCTCTCTCTCTGCCTGCCTCTCTGCCTGCTTGTGATCTCTCTCTGTCAAATAAATGAATAAAATCTTCAAAAAAAAAAAAAAAAGAAAAAAAAAAAAGATTTTATTTATTTATTTGAGAGAGCGAGCACAAGTAGGAAGGGGCCAAACGGTGAGGGGCAGAGGGAGAAGCAGACCCCCCACTGGGCAGACAGCCCGATGCAGGCGGACCCCAGGACCTTGGCTGGGATCATGACCTGGGCCGAAAGCAGATGCTTAAGCGACTGAGCCACCCAGGCGTTCCAAATTTGAGGTTTTTAACTTGTTGAAAAGGTATGGGGAGGTGCGGAGGGGAAGGTCTGTGAATCTAGAGGGCAGGGTTGACATACCGAAAACGGGGGTGCCCTGAGGGCCACTTGAACTGGTGCTTCTCACGAAGATGCACAGTGAGGTTGTTGCCCCTCGTGAAGCATTTGTCACACACATGACACTTGTACCTTGGCTCTGAGTCTCCCTGATAGGGAGGGGAGGACAGTGAGGCCAACTCTCCACCCCGGGTTCCCCACACCTCTGCCTGCCCTCTCCCACCGACAGCCCCACTCACTTCATGCACTTTTCGGTAATGGGACTTGATGGAGCAGAGGGATCGCGCACTGAAGCTGCAGTTCTCAAAATCACACCTGTAGGCTGGCTCCTTGCTGTGGGTATCCAGGTGCTTCCGCAGGTCAATCAGATTCTTGCAGCTGTGGGGAGAGGTCAGGCGGGGCTGGAGGGCACGGGGGACGCTGGACCGTGAGTTCTCGGACTTCTAGCCCCTTAGCTGGTTCCCCTTACCTGTAGTCACAACAGTCACACTTGAAGGGCCGGTCCTCGCTGTGGCGAAAGCGCATGTGGTTTCGGAGGGAGGATGGCAGCGGACAGGTCATATCACACAGAGGGCACTTATAGTGATTCACTGAGAGGAGCAGAGAGGGGGGCCGTGACCTGAAGCCTAGCGGGAACCTGGAGGGAGGGCCAGGCGCGAGGGGGCTCTGGCTACTCACCGTGGTTACGCATATGGTCCCGCAAGAGCCGCTCCGTGGCAAATCTCTTGGAGCAGTGAGAGCACTGGAAGCGCTGCTCTGGGGCAGAACAGGCAGAAGACAGGGTGGGCTGAGGGGGATGGCGGGGAGGTGCCAGCAAGCCCGGGAGAGAGGAGCCACCCGAGAAAAGGGGGAGCTTAAGAACTAGGGATAGACACAGTACCACTGAAGGAGCACGGGGCTTGGGAGTCGAGAACTTGAATTAGAATCCCTGCTTGCCCCCTAACTAGCTGTGCAACCTCATATAAGTGATTTAACCTGAGATTCAGTTTCTTCATCTGCAAAAAGAGGGTGAGGGGTGCCTGAGTAGCTCAGCTGGTTAAGTGTGTGCCTTCGGCTCAGGTCATGATCCCAGAGTCCTGGGATGGAGTCCCACACCAGGCTCCCTGTTGAGCAGGGAGCCTGCTTCTCCCTTGGCCTATTGCTCCCCCTGCTTGTGCTCTCGGGCCCTCTCTCTCACAAATAAATATATACACACATACATAAAATCTTCAAAAAAAAAAAAAAAAAGAGGGGGTAAGAAGCACACATCATGGGGCTGTGGGAATTCACTGGGAAAAGAGAGCACATGGTAAGCACTGAATAAAACATCTAATGATTCTCAGGCAGCCAAGGCTGTGGCAGGTGACTGAGCCCTAAGACAGAAGTAGCCAAACTGCAGATGCCTTCAGTGGCCCCCTCTCCCAGGAACATGCCCTTAACCCCCACCCCAAGCAGGACAGCCTACACCCACTCCCCTTCTTCTCGGACTGCTTACGATCCAAAGAGGTCTGGCGACGGATGTGATCTAAGAACTTGGTGTTGTTGGCAAACATGCCCCCACAGGTGGGGCAGGCCACCACCTTCTCCTGGGTATGGCTGCGGAGGTGCTCTCGAAGCTTCCGGCAGTCCTTGAAGGTGCAGGTACAGCCTGGGAAGGAAAGCCCAGTCAGGCTCCAGCCACGGACCCCCAGAGCAGGCTCTGGTGCTGAGTCTCCAGACAGTAGCGACCCTTACCCCATGGGACTGGGCCCATGCCTAGCTGCCCTAGGCCCTCAGCAACCCCAGGCATTCTTTAAAGGCCCTACCTTTCCAGCCACACAGCACCACATGGTTGTCCTTGCCGACCGCCTGGTACTCACAGCACAGGCTGTGCGCTTCCACGTGCCGATAGAACCACTCGGGATTGTCGAAGGAACTCTGTACCAGGAGCAACTTGGGGTGAGGATGGGTAGAAGGACTTTGACCCCTACGTGTACAAGGGGGGCTCCTTGGCTGTCTCCCAAATTAGGTCGGCAGGGGCATGCCCCTCCCTATTTGAGCAAGGGAGCTACCTGGAAATGAGATGCTAGCAGGAACCTGGAATACATAGGGCATCCCTGAGAGGGTCAAGGCATCGTGAGCTAAGATCCCCAACTTCCTTCCGCCCCCATTCCCAGCACTGCCCGCTGACCTCACAGTGCTCCCACAGACACAGGAAGTGGTCAGGGATGTCAGGGATGATGTTGCGGCTCTGGAAGTCCAGGATGCAGGGGCTGAGGTTGGCCTGGCTCTGCAGGGCCTGCAGCCCCCACTGCTTCAGCTTGGTGTGGTAGCAGTGGAAGTAAACGTGGCGGATGAGGTCAGCCGAACTGTCCATAGAACAAAAGCCACACTCCTGCCACAAGCAGGAGAATTCCTCCTCTGCAGAAAGATGTTTAGAAGGAAGAGTCTGATACTTTGCAAAGCTCAGTTCTCCTACCTATAGCACTTAGCAGCGAGAGAGGAGGCTGGACTCTGACCCAATTACCAGCAGTTCATTTCGCAAATACCAGCATTTAACTACCACCAATCGTGCCCCAGGCACTGGGGATACAAAGAGTAAAAAGGGTCCCAGTCCCCACCCTCACAACAGCTTTCAGTCATGGAGAAAAAACATTAATCGAGTAATCACACGTATGAATGTAAAACCCCAGCCAGTCCCAAGCTCTATGAGGGGGTGGTGGTCTGGGGTACTATAACATCATCAAGCAGAGGTCATCTGATATGGACAGGGATGACTTGGAAGTGTCCCTGTGTTGAGATGTGAAGGGTGAGTATCTGTAAACTAGAGGGAGAAGTGTGGCTGTTGATGCAGAGGGAAGGGTGTGTTCAAGGCCCGGTGCCCAAAACTCCCAGATGGCAGGGGTGGCTGGCAGGCGCTAGTGGCTCCGGATTTCTGCCTCAGCCTCCCAGTTCGGGACACCTCCCACTCCTTCCTTCAGACCAGTCCTTCCTTTCCCTATATTCTCCCCGAGGCCTGTCCTCTCTGGAAAAGCCATTGACTGCTGCAGTCCACTGCCTGGTTCTTAAGCAGCTCTCTCCAAGCACATTTTCTTTCTTCTTTTTTTTTTTTAAGATTTTATTTATTTATTTGACAGAGATCACAAGTAGGCAGAGAGGCAGGCTTTAACCCACTGAGCCACCCAGGTGCCCCTCCAAGCACATTTTCAAGTCTTTACAGGGGCTTAGTTGTTTTAGAAAGTAGGTACTTAAAAAAATATAAAGGGCGGGTGCCTGGGTGGCTTAGTTGCTTGAGCATCTGTCTTTGGCTCAGGTCATGATCCCAGGGTCCTAGATTGAGTCCTGCATGGCAGCTGGGGGTGAGGTCCTTGCTCGGCGGGAGTCTGCTTCTCCCTCTGCCCCCTCCCTTGCTAGTGTGTGCGTGCTCTCTCTCTCTCTCTCTCTCTCTCACAAATAAATAAATAAAATACTTGAAAAATATCTATATAAGGGGCACCTGAGTGGCTCAGCTGCTTGAGCATCCAACTCCTGATGTTGGGTCAAGTCTTGATCTCACAGTCATGAGTTCAAGCCCCATGCTGGGCATAGAGCCTACTTTAAAACACACACACACATACCCTAATTTCTCTTTCACACAGGGGCGCCTGGGTAGCTCAGTGGGTTCAGCCTCTGCCTTCAGCTCAGGTCATGGTCTCAGGGTCCTGAGATCGAGCCCCACATCGGGCTCTCTGCTCGGTGGGGAGCCTTCTTCTTCCTCCCTCTCTGCCTGCCTCTCTGCCTGCCTGTGATCTCTCTCTTTGTTAAATAAACAAATAAAATCTTTAAAAAAGAATTTCTCTTTCATACGTATATTATTTGACTTCTAAAACTATTGCTTATAGTTCATAGTCACGAGACTTAAAACAGAATTTGAGACAGGGGAAAGAGAGCTGCCTCTGTACTTTCTGCAGAACAGAGTTCTTTAAACTGTGTTGTGACCTATTAGTGACTGCAGAAATCAATTTAGAGGACTGCAAACCAATTTTTTTTTTAATTTATTTGAGAGAGAGAGAGAGAGAGAGAGAATGAGAGCATGAGAAAGGAGAGATCAGAGGGAGAAGCAGACTTTCCGCCGAGCAGGAAGCCCAATGTGGGACTTGATCCCAGGACTCCAGGATCATGACCTGAGCCGAAGGCAGCCGCTCAACCAACTGAGCCACCCAGGTGCCCCTGCACACCAATTTTTTTAAGGAGGCTCCAGGCTCAACATGGGGCTTGAACTCATGACTCTGAGATGAAGAGTTGAGTGCTCCACCGACTGAGCCAGCCAAGCGCCCCTCTGCATTTCTTTTTTTTTAAATGAAAAAGAACAAGACAGAACACTTCAGAGAGCATTTAATAGAGGCAAGGATTATTTCAAGTATTTTTTAACTTTTGTGTATGGGGTTGGGATGTAAAATGTATTCCTAACTGGCAGCGGCAGTAAAGAAAAAACCGAGAAGCACTACCAGAGAATCAGACAAGCAGGCTGTTGACAGTATGTACAGTACGATCCTTTTTAAAAAATAAAATCCTCTTTATCTAGTGTACATATGTGGGGCGCCTGGGTGGCTCAGTGGGTTAAGCCTCTGCCTTCAGCTCAGGTCATGATCTCAGGGTCCTGGGATCGAGCCCCACATCGGGCTCTCTGCTCAGCGGGGAGCTTGCTTCCCCCTCTCTCCTCTGCCTACTTGTGATCTCTGTCAGATAAATAAATAAAATCTTTTAAAAAATGTACATATTTATGCACATACCAAAAATGTGCATATATATTGCCCTTTGATGGCAGGCTGGCAGATTCGTTCCATTTTCTATAAGGCGTCTACCATGTTTTTATAAGCAAAAACGGCACCATTAGGAAAAGTCAGATTTCCCACCTTCCTTGAGCTCTTTCCCCTTCCTGTCCTGCTCCCTTACCAAGTGGGTCCTCCTCCTCCTCTTCCTCCTCTCCGGAGCCGTGCAGGTGCTGCTGCAGGTGCTGAGTGACATGCTCGCAGAACTCCTCCATGGCTGAGCACACAAAGGAGCAGGACCCCCACTCGCACTGGAGCCCCAGGTTCTCCTTCCGGGGAACTTTCGCCGGGGGCGGCATGGCCCTCACCCTAGAAGAGGAAGAGATCCACAGCTACAAGGATTCCACCAAGTGCTGCTGGGGGCAAACGGGTGCACAGCCTGCCAAGAACCGGCAGGCGTTTCTCCCATGACCCGCGAGGAACAGCTACTGCGGCTCGGTTCCTCGAGCCCCTGGAAGCCGCCTGGTGTGCCTGTGAAGGGAAAACACACGCTAACATCACGGAGCGGGTGCCAGGCACTGAGCTAAGAACTTCAACAGCCGATTTCTCATGAAGCTTCAGAGCGACAGGCTGAGAAGGAATTAATTATTCCAACGAAACGCAGAACACTGTGCACAAGTTCAAAGAGATGGCTCCGGGCAAGGAACAGACTTCAAATCCACACTCCTGTGTCCACCACCTATTAGCTGTGTGACGGTGGCCAAGTCACTTCACCCTCCGAATCCCGAACATCCCAGCTTCGAAATGGGGATAACAAAACCCTTTGTTTTTCATTTCACACTTACTATACAGGTCAACACATTACATGATGTCACTGAATTACCAACACCACCCAATGAGGGAAGTACTATTTTTAACTTCACTTACAGGTAAGAACTTCAGGTTCGGAGAGGTTAACTGGTTTGCTCAAAGCAGGCCACACACTAGTGGGGCGGTAGGGTCAGGTCAGGCTGACTCCAAAGTCCGTATTCTTTCTAACCCACACAGCTTGCGGATGAGCCCCAAAGCTCTTTATCTCTTACTGCATCTGTCCGAAGTCCCTGCCAGAATTTTAAACCACCATTCAAATTGCCTTTGCCTAACCTACCCAGCAGATACTGAGCACTCCCCTAACATGCTCAGAACTAAAACGTCCAGGTGACCCTGAACAACAGACATGTGAACTGGGCAGATCCACTTATATGCGGAGTTCTGCAATACTTTTAGAATACATTGGAAAACTTTCCGGAGGTTTGCAACAATCTGAAAAAATTCCCAGACAAATTAGGTAGTCTAGATATATCTAAAGAATTAAGAAAAATTTAGGTAGGTCACGAATACATAAATACTAATCTATTTTAGAATACAAGTCTGTTTTACTATTTACTATTTATTATCTATTATTTATTATTTAATACCATAAAATATACCCAAATCTATTATAAAAAGTTAAAATTTATTGTCTACCTGGCTGGCTCAGTCAGTGAAGCATGTAACTCTTGATCTTGGGGTCATGAGTTCAAGCCCCACACTGGGTGTATAGTACTTAAATTTTGAAAAAAGTTAAAATTTATCAAAGCTTACACACACACAGACAGTACATTATCCTTTCATTTATGTCTAGTGTTAGTAATATGTGCAACACCTGCAGTGTTTTGTTTCATATAAGACAATATTGATGTAGGTTCTGACAGACGATTCACCTTATAAAGAGGCCACATAAAACTAACAGTATCAATAAATACAGTCCAGTACTATAAACCTATGTTCTCTTTCTTATGATTTTCTTAATAACGGGAGGAAAAGTAGGGAAAGCCTTCCTAAGTCAGACATAACATCCCAAACCTCCTCTCTCCTGCCTACAGGATCAAGTCCATTGAGAAATGCACGCACGGCTCTTCTCCAACTGGCCTCAACTTACTTCTCCAGAAACGGAGAAAGGACACTATCATGACTGAGGGCCTACCATGAGTCAGCCCCTTCATTTCTTTTTTTTTTTTTTTTTAAATGAAGACTTTATTTATTTATTTGACAGAGATCACAAGCAGGCAGAGAGGCAGGCAGAGAGAGATGGGGGGATGCAGGGCTCAATTCCAGGACCCTGAGATCATGACCTGAGCCGAACGCAGAGGCTCAACACACTGAGCCACCCAGGCCCCCCTTAAACTTCATTTCATTTGATGTAAGAGCATCCTGACTCTTATCCAAAGATCATGCACTTCCTCGTCGACACCATGCTGCTGCTCTGGCTTCCTCTCCCGTCCGTTCATTCCTCTCTTTGATCCAACCATCTTTGTCCCTAAACACATTACATTCTCCCCAAACTCTGCCTGAGAAACTTCCACCTACCCTCAAGCCCAGTGTCCCTTCCTGGGTGAGTCCTTTCCAATTTATCCTGGTAAAACTGGAAAATCCAGCTGCTGTCCCTGCAGCACTGTGTACTGCTTTGTTACAGCGCTGTTACAACGGAATGGAACATCTGTCTCCCCCAGACTAGGGGCCTCTCAGGACAGGGACCTCACCCCTTCCCTTCCCTTTCCCAGCATTAGCCCAGAGCTCTGTACTCTTCAGACAATGTCAGGATCTGATCATATTCCAGGAAGCCTTCCTAAATTACTTGCCCCTCGGATTACTCCTGTCTCTCGGTGCTATGGCTGCCATAGCTAACACCAGAAAATCTCAACCCGATTTGTATGCTGCCCATGGTCATTTGATGTGTTCTATTCTCATTCACACAAATGGGACAGTATTAGCTGCTTTGGAGCAGGAACCACACCACGCGCATCTGTCTCCCTATACTGTGTCCAGCACAGTGCTGAGCACAGATACTGAAAACATATACCTGTTGTCTGACTGGGTAAGGCCCAGCAGGTATCTAGGCATCTAGATATCTAGAATGACTTGAAAATTAGGCAAAGCTCCCTGAATCCCTCTTTTGCTGTCCCCCAGCGTTCTTTACTTTCTCTCCTTGTGCCCTGCTTGTCTCCACCCTGGGGAAGCTGTGGGACAGTGACTATCCGGACACCATTCCTCCTTCTGTAGGCAAGGAATACAGTGAGGCACCCTGTATACTGGAGAGGGCATTGGACCAACTGTCAGAAAGCCTAGGTTCAAGTTTCCTGCCTCAATTACTTTACTCTGCCTCAAAAAATGTAACATTAAGAATGTACAGTACACAAAGCACTGTTCTAAGTGTCCTGTATGTATAAAAACTCATTAATACAACAACCCACCTACTAAGGTATTATTCTCCCACTCCACAAATAAGGTAATGGGCCCTGATAGGTTAAGTAATTTACCCAAGGCCACAAAGCTAGTGATGGAGACAGAATTCAAAGCCAGGGAGTTTGGCTCCGTTCTCCTCCTACACCCGCCATCTTATCTCTTTGTCTGATTCCTTCCTTCCCCCATAGACCTTGTATCCGTATACACAATACCCCAAACATGTTTTATTAAGTAGTTATTCTGCCAGCTTCCCCCAATAAACTGTGAGCTCCTAGAAAGTCTGGCCTGTGCCCCATTCAGTTCTAACTTCAGGACCAGCACACCCTCATACAAACTCTTTTAATGTTTAAGTGAACCTATAACTTATTACTTTACTTTTTTGATAAATAACCTAACTTCCTCGAACCTGTTTTTTTTTAATGTAAAATCACAACTAGTGATAGACTGAACTAATATCACAACTAATACTAATATCACATCTAGTGATAGACTGAACAAACCTGGTTAGAAACCACCAACATGGGGCGCCTGGGTGGCTCAGTGGGTTAAGCCGCTGCCTTTGGCTCAGGTCATGATCTCAGGGTCCTGGGATGTAGCCCCGCATCCGGCTCCCTGCTCAGCAGGGAGCCTGCTTCCCGCCCCCCTCTCTCTGCCTGCCTCTCTGCCTACTTGTGATCTCTGTCTGTCAAAATAAAATCTTTAAAAAAAAAAAAAAAAGAAAGAAGCCACCAACATTTACTAGCTGTCACCTCCTTCAAGTTACTTAAACCTCAGTTTCCCATAAAGCAGGGGAATCATTAAGCCTGTCCCACTGAATTGATTTATGGACTAAACTAAATAATGTATATTAAAATGCTTAGCATAACATCCCGCCAGAACTCAACAAGTGTTAGCTGTTTGTATCCTTGCTTCTGAGGGTGAGATGATCTAAGCACAATTCTACAAAAAGGTCAACAAAAGGACCACCGGAGAAATCCCTAACACTCTTCATCTGGAATCACAGTAAGAAGAAATCAGCAAATACTTACGGGTATATATTTTAACGCAAGGCACCAACAGATAACCCTGAACGATATTCAAGAAAAGGAGAGACCTATGTCCTCAACCTCCTAAGGACTCACAATCTGGCCGAAGAGATGACTCTGATGTATGAAGACAACCGCCAAAACAAAGCGTCGATGGGGGGAGCCAGGACAGAAAAAAATCCCAGTGCAGAAGCGAAGCAGGAAAGACTTGCCCTAAGCGGCGGGGCCCGGGCCCCTGAAACACCGGTCGAATTCGGAGAAAGGGAGACAGTCCCGGCTGGTAAAACCTCTCCCTCGCAGCCTCGCAGGCTTCCCGGAGTCCTTCTCCCACTAAGGCATGGCGGTAACCATGTCTCAGAAGCAGTGAAGCCCCAGACGAGGGAGCTGGGAGATACGAGTCGGGGTTAGGGGTCGGAGGCACTGCAGGCGCAGGGCAGACAGACGTGGCCAAGCTGCCAGAAGAAGCTTCGCGGAGGTGACCAAAGAGCCTGGCCCCGGGAGCCTGCTCAGAGAGCACCCCGACGCTGCCACGGGAAAACCGCAGTCCAGCTTACCGTCCCTCCACTGCCGGCTCTCTCCAGCTCTTCCCACCTCGGACCATCTCCGGAAGGGCGCTTGAGCGACGGCCAGCGAGAGCCAATCGCCGCTCTCAAATCCCTCTAACAGCCAATGGAAGCTGCGACTGACGGAAACCGTGCGCGACCAAAATACGGAAGGGGTGGGAGTGAGGACCGGCGGGCTGCGGGGAAGGTAGCTTTGCTGGCCGCCGCGCGGACTGGGATCCCAAGGTCCCGAATTCGCCCAACTGCGCAGACTCCGCGCTGGCACCCACTGGGCCTGCGCGGGGCTCGAGCTGAGCGCCGAGCGCTGCCTCTCCTTTCTCGCGTGGCTTACTGCGTTAGCTGCGGGCGAGCGCAGGGAAGAGGAGTGGGAGGCGGTGGCAGCTGCGCGCGGGGCTGCGTGCACCGAGCTGTCAGCCCCTCTCGACCCAAACTGAAGTTCTACCTCTACCCTCACCCTCTTACTCTTATTTCTTTTAAATATCCGTATTCCAGTGCCATCTTTTCCCTCCACCACCTCTCCCCTTCCGAGACTCAGTGAACAGCCGCGTTATCTATCCACTCCTTCAAACCAGAAACCCAGCAGTCCTCCCTGATCCGTTACCTACCATCCTCCGCCCAAGTCCTGTGAATTTTAACTTCTTAAACACGGGAGCTCTCAAATTCAACCCCCACCCTTCGCCGTCCCCTCGCTAGTCTATTAACGACGCCCAGCCCCATGTCTACACTATCTGGTTCCATCGCGTGCACTCTCCCTTCCCTACAAGACCTTCCCCACGAAGAAATTTTGATTAAACCACGACACTGCTTTCAACACTTCAAGGCCTTCTGTGGCCCGGAGGCAAAAACCCCAAACCATACTGAGGCTTTCTAGACCCTTCGGTATCTGAGTCCTGCATACTGCAACCGTGTCTTTCGTCCTGGTCCTCACCTTCTGCTCTCCAGTCCAGTTTCTTGCGGTTTCTCGACCACACCTAGCCGCCTTTTACCTTTCCTGCCTTGTACTTGCTGTTTCCTCTGCCTGGTGCCATCTTCCCCCTTCTCCCCCTCTGACATGTATCTGATTGACTCCTACTCATTCTTCCAGTAGGGGAGGGCAGGGGTTGTATGTGCTCTTCACGCACGTGACTCCATCACTTAGCCTAGCAGCTCAAACATTAAGGGTTCGAGACATATTTGTTAAATAATGTACCTTAGTAAAGTTCATTGGGGTTGAGATTTATTTTGTTATGTTTTTCTGTATTTTTCTAACCTAAAAATAAGCCTATATGATTCATGTAATCAGAAAACACATTAAATGTTTAATATAAATGAAAGACACTGTTAAAAATGACAAAGTCAGAGTAAAATCAGAAATTTGTGCATGAAGTTTGTTACTAACAGTGGACTATGGCGTTGTCCCTATTTTAAAATCGGGTTTTTAAAAAAATATAATTCTGAAGTAATAAAAATATAGTTTATCAACTTCATTCCTTCAAAAGTACAGTCATAGTAATACACAAAATGCCAACCTTCTTTTAATTCAGATTTACACCACTGAAGATGGTTTTTAGCTTTAATTTAGCAATTTCATGAAGAAAAATTCATTCACAGAGCTATGTAGATTCAAAACAATTTTCACAGAGCAAAAATTTCAGGATAGCTCTGGGATCCACACATGACTCCAGAATTTTAGACCACATCTTGCTGTCTAGCATTATTTACTTCCATTTCAATCTGCTTCTCTTGAAAACAAGCTACAATTTTGGTTGGAAAATTCAGGAATATCCTGAGATTTGTTCTTTATTCTCAGTAAATAAGCTACTTCTTAGATCAAGGGAAACAGATTGATAAATCTCTGAGTTTTCTTGACCTAGAGTTGAGCATATCACTATATCCAAATTAACCAAACATCCATACTCTGCCACTCTTACTAAATATGCTATATTCGGGGGGCGCCTGTGTGGCTCAGTGGGTTAATCCTCGGCCTTCGGCTCCGGTCATGATCTCAAGGTCCTGGGATAGGGCCCCGCATCGGGCTCTCTGCTCAGCGGGGATCCTGCTTTCCCCTCCCTCTCTGCCTGCCTCTCTGCCTACTTGTGATCTGTCAAATAAATAAATAAAATCTTAAAAAAATACTATATTTGGGGGGCGAGGTGGTTAAGTGTCTGCATTGGGCTCAGAGCAAGTTCTAGGACTGAGTCCCCTCTCAGGCTCCCTGCTCAACTGGGAGTCTGCTTCTCCCTCTGCCCCTCACTCTGCTGGTGCACACACTCTCTCTCTCTCTTTCAAATAAATAAATAAATAAATAAATAAATAAATTCCTATATTCAGTGACTAGTATGGATGGGACATGGGAAAGATTGACAGTTCCATGCTGCCTACCCAAAGGCATGTGCCCTAAACCCCCTGTGATGTAAGTCAGTTAGAATGGTGAGGCTGGAGGTGACCTGAATGATTATCTAGGTCACTCTTCATTTTAGGGATGAGGAAGTGGAGGTCCAGAAAGGAGAAGTGGTCTGTCCAAGGTCACTTGGTGTGTCTGTGGCACACTCGGGCTTTCTGTCCCAGGTCCAGGGCTCTGTCTGACATCCTGCAGCAGCTTACCTGGTTCAAATCCTGGGTAAGGTCCCACAGAACGGGAACCAGGGGTGTAGAATTTGCTAGCAGCCAGAACTCCCTGAAGCTTGGCCATATTTAGGAATGAAAGACTTTTCAGTATGATGAAAACTTTATAAGACTTCCCCCTCCCAATCTGTCTCTTGTGAGGCAACAGTTAGCACTTATTCAGCATTGACCATATGCCAGCAGAATAGTAAGCACTTCATGCATTTACTTCTCAGCCACAACCAAGTCATAGCTACTATCACAGTTCCCATTTTACAGATGAAAAAACTGAGGTACTCTGTGGTAACGTAACTTGCCCGAGGCCACACGGGTAATTAGAAGAACCGAGACTCAAATTTAGGCCATCTAGATCCAGAATCCATGCTTAGGATCCTATCATATCCTGGAAGGAGCAGCCTATTCAAGAAAGGGGAATGAAGATGCCTGTACGAGTTGACTGACTTTTTTCTCTGATTGATGTTTTTTGCTATGACTTCACCCTTCAAAGACTCGTTCTCCCATCGTCTCTCCACGCATCCCTTCTTCCCTGCATGAACTTCTTAGCAGACCCAACATGTGTGTCATCTACCCCACCACACTATCTGGGCCCCCCCCCCCCGTCTCTGATCTTCCCACCCTACCAATGCCACAGCCTAGCTGCTCACTGACCTTTCAAAGGAGAACCAGATTATAAACTCCAATTTGACTTTAATTTAATAAATTAAATTCCAAGCCATCACACAGCAATGGACATCATCATCTCCCAACACACAGAGGTGTAGCCCTGCTCTTGTGCCATCATCATCACAGTCTTTAATGAAGCCCCTGAAGCCATTTCTCTGGGGAAGGCTTCCACCCAGCTCCTGGCTCCCTCCTTCCTACAGAGCCACTGCTCACGGAGAAGGCATCAAGTACAAAAACAGTAATAAAGGGGAGGGAGGGATGAGGAGCAGGAGGGGAGGCAGGGAGGTGGGGAGTACCTGCCCCCCTTCCGGGGCACCGGCCCGGCTGTGAGCTGCCAATGTCCCCAGAGGCAGACACTGGTGCTGGTCGGAGTGGGGACCTGAGGGAGACATGGGAGTCCTGTCCCAAAGGGAATTAACTGCCTACCCTCCTGGGACAGGAAAGAAGGGTCACCTGGGAGAGATGCCCTCTCTGATCTGTTTGCTGAGGGTCCTGGACCACACATATAAATAGAAAAGAGAATAAATAGGGGAGGAAGGACCAGCTGAGGAGCTGAGCACCCTGGGGCTCCTCTGAGGGGCCAATGTCAACAGCAGGCAACCAGTTCTGAGGAATGCCCACATGTGCCGGGACAGAGCCCTCCTCTCACTCCCAGCCACCCACTCCCTCTTCTGCATCCTCAGCAACGGGCGCCCGCCTGTCTCATGCTTCCCGTTGCAAGTACCCTTCCAACTGGCCCCACAGCCCAGGGTGCACAGGGCTTCCTGGAACCCAGAGGGCTTCCCTGGCCCAGGCTGTTGGGAATCCAGGAAGGGGAATGGAAGAGGATGTGGGGGGTGGGCTGAGAGGACTCCTGCCCTCTCCTAGCTCAGGAGGTGAGAAGGGCCCTCAGAGCTGGGGGCTGGGATTGCCATTGGCCTTGGGTTTGGATTTGAAGGAAAAGCGCTTGATAAGGCGGCGAGAAAAGCTGCCAGCCTTCTTTCGGACACTGGGTGTGGCCGTGGCGTTGGAGAGGTCGTCGTGTGATTGGCTCAGACCAGCTTCCTTCTGGCGAGGCCTCCGGCGGAAGATAAGCTTCGTGCCACTGCGCAGGAAACTCACTGTGGGGGAAGAGGGGAGGCTGAGGCAGAGAGAGGGGCACAGCTCGCATGGGGTGAGGTGGGGAGCAGAGAAAGGACCAAGCGCTCAGGGGTTGAAGATACAGAAGCAGTTCCTCTGTCTAAAAGCCAGGCTTCCTTACAAAAAAAAGTAGAGACAAAATATGCCTTCTATCTTTCCTAAGGAGAAAAATGGAGGTGCTTATGGGATTCCTGTGTTTACTCCTGGCTACTGCCGCTGAGCACCAGACTGACAACTGGGCCTCTACTATGGGAAGACAAAGGCTGAGCAGAGGGTACTCCTAAAAGCCCATAAAGTCATGGAAGGACAAGGTAGGCACTGACTCGTCAACCAAATTCCAGGATGTAAGCAGGAAGCGGGGCAGCTGGAAAACCTCAAGGAGGTAAATTCAGAACCAACATAATGAGAAAAGTGCTTACACAGCGGGCTTTGGACTTAGGAATCTCATTATCCCAAGAAGTGATGAAGGCTTAAGTCACAGTTAAATACATTTGTGGTTCACAGACTCATTGGCAGAGGTATAAAAATGTGGGGGGCAAGCCCCTCATCCTTAGAAGTGAGAAAAGCACCACGCCTATCCCTGAGCCAGCCATGTGGCTGCTAGAAGGACATTCCTAGAGTTGATCCCAGGGTAGGATTCCTTATACTCATAAGGAAGAGAGTACAGAATGGAAGGAGAGGGGAGGAAAAAAAGAAAGACCATAGGAAAGAACGTAAGT